TGTATTGTATGATACATAAATTATGTGTCAATGAAAGTACTGGGGGGAAAAGTTAACAAATTAAAGTCATATGTAATAATTCACTTTTAGAGATATATTCAAGTACCATAAGTAGATATTTGCCTAATTTGAATTATGTATTTTTCTTGCATAGTTCAAATGAGATTACAGATTAAAATTGATCATGTTGTTGTTGAGTGTTATCAAGTTAATCACAACTGGTAAGGACTCTACATTACACAGTAGAACTGCGAAGTAGGGTTTTCTACACAATAATTAAATTGACTACATCTATGGAAAGACTATGGAGAAGCCCAATATCATTAGCTATAACAAGAGATGGAACTAACCATTAATTGTTCATTTACAGGTCCCGGTTGAAGCTAAAGAAAATAAATCAAGTCTGAAAAAGCCAAAATACCGTATTGAATTTATTTCACATGAATTTCGAGACCATCTCATAAATATATTTGTCGTATTGAACATCCAAGATGAGATGAGATATGGTCTTCAAGAAATCACCATACATAAAGAAAGCAAAAGGTGATTAAGAAGACAACAAAGAAAACACAAAAATGGATATCAGAAGAGAATGAAACTTTTTCTTTAATGTAAAGCAGCTAAAGTGAATGGAAGAAATGATGAAGCAGAAGACCTGGATAGAAAACCTCAAAGGGAAGCTCAAGAAGAAAAAGTAAAGTATTATAATAAAATATGGAAAAACCTGAAGTTAGAAAACCAAGGGGAAGAATATTCTCAGCATTTCTAAAGCTAAAAAAAACAACAACAAAGAAACAATTTAAGCTTTGATTTGAATACTGAAGGATTGTGTGAGCAAAACATCCAATGCCACCAGAAGTATACAAAAAGACCAAAGGAATACTCAAATACTCACTCACTGACCAAAGTGAATGGATAAGTATTCAACCATTTCAAGAGGTAGCATAAAATCAATAACTGATGGTACTGGAGGAAGAAGTCCAAGATACCCTGAAAGTATTTATGGAAAATAAGGTTACAGGAAATGATTAAATACCAATAGATAAGTTTCAACAAATTGGTGTAGTACTGGAAGTGCTTACTCTTTTTTCTGAGAAATATAAAAGACCTGACCAATCAACTGGAAAAGACACGTATTTATGCCCATTCCAAAGAAAGGTAACCCACACAACAAAAAGAACAAATTATCAAACAATATCATTAATATCACATGAAAGAAAAATTTTGCTGAAGATAGTTCAGAAAGAGTTGAAGTATATCATCAGCTGACAGAATACAAGTGAGATACAAAATAGAAAATGGAATGAATGATATCACTGCTTTAGTCAGATGTGTCATGGCTGAAAGTATAATACTGGAAAGACGTATACTTATGTTTTATTGACCATTCCAAGGCATTCAACAGTGTGAATCATAACAAAGTATGACTAATATTGCGAAGAATGGTAATAACAAGACACTCCATTATGCTGACTCAGAATCTGTACATAGCCCCAAATGAGGTCATTTGAAGATAACAAGGTGATACTGAATGGTTTAAAATTAGGAAAGATGTGCATCAGAGTTGTATCCTTTCACCAAACATATGGAATTTGCATGGTGAATAAATAACCCAAGAAGCTGGAATATATCAGGAAAGCTCAATGAATGACTTGTGATATGTAGATGGTACAACTTTGCATGTTGAAAACAAAGAGAATTTAAATAATTGATTAGTGAAGATCAAACATGGCAGACTTCAGTATGGATTGCATCTCACATAAAGTAAAAATTCTTACAACTGGACTGATATGCATCATGATAAATGGAGAAAATACTGACGATGTCAAGAATTTTATTTTATTTTAATCTACAATAAATGTTCAAGGAAGCAGCCATCAAGAAACCTAACTACATATTACATTGGGAAATCTCCTGCAAAACACATATTAAAGAATAAATATGTCACCTTGAGGACTAAGACCACATGACCCAACCCATGGTATTTTCAACAGCTTCATATGCATGTGAAAGCTGACCAATGAAAAACAGCAGAAAAATTAATGCATTTGAATTACAGTGTTTGTGAAGAACATTCTATGTACCAAGGGCTGTCAGAAGAAGGAAATCTGTTTTAAAAGAAGTCCAGCAAATTGTTTCATGGATGTAAGGATAGCAAGACTTTGTCTTTTGTAATTTGTTCATATTATCAGAAGAGACCAGTCACTGTAGAAGAACTTCATGCTTGGAAAAGGCAAAAAAGAAGACTCGAAATTAGATAGACTGACACAATGGCATCAAGAATGGGCTCAACCAAAACAACTGTGAGGATGGTGTAGAACCAGTGTTTTATTATGTTGTACACAGGGTTACTATGAACTGATTCGACATAAGCTAGCAACAACACAACAACATTTATAGAAGCACATCACCAGGTCTTTATCCCAAGGAGCTGCTGGGTAGGTTGAACCACCAACTTTTCAGTTAGTAGCAAGAACATAAGTGTTACCACCACCAGGGCTCCATACACTAAACATAAACTCGAGAGCCAACAGATATTACAACTCATTGCAACCTTATAGGACATGATAGAAACTGCCACATATAGTTTCCAAGGTGATA